ATTAAAACTATTTAACTGGATTAAAATGATAAAAAAGTACATTGAATTTTTATTTATTTATTATTATTATTATTATTATTCATTTTTTCAGACTGAATTAGCTAAAAAAAAATGTAAATGTAAAAATCTATCTAAATTAAAATGCTAAAACAACGTAATGAAAACATGTACATGTAAAAATAAGTTTATTTATTAATTAAAATAATCACATTGAATTAAAACGTTAAAATGTAATGAAAAAAGGGAAAAAAGGGGGAAAAATTAAAAAGCAAATGTTAATTTAAATTATCTAACTGAATTAAATTGCTCAAAATGTAATGAAAACATGTATATGTAAAAAAAATTATTTATTGATTTAAATAATTAATATAATTATTATCAATTAAAATGCTAAAAAAAGGAATGAAAAAAAAAAATGAAAATTGTAAAAAAAAAAAAAAAGCAAAAAAAGCAAAACAGAAATGTAAAATTTTTTTTATTTAAATAATCTAACTGAATTAAAATGCTAAAAAATGTAATGAAAAAAGTATAAATGTAAAAAAATGTTAACTTATTTAATAAAAAATTAACTGAATTAAAACAAATGTAATGAAAAAAATGTAGAAACATAAATGTAAAAACAAATGTTTATTTATCTGATTAATTAAAATCATGTTAAAAGGCTAAAAATTTAATAAAAAGTAAAAACTAAATGTTCATTTAGAAAAATAATCCAACCAAATCAACTTTAGGTTGGATGAAGCCGTGTGATTGGTTGCTGTGTTCAGGAGCATTACCTGAGGAGGATCATGCCCATGCGGGAGATGGTGGCTGGTGAGGCGCAGCTCAGATCGTGGGTCTCAAACAGGAAGTTGACGTTGGGGCCGAACTGAATCCTCTCACCGCTAGGCATCGTGAGTAAACGATTATCATCCAGCACAGAGTTTAATGACTCGATCCACTCCGGATCAATGTCTCCATCGCATATAATCCATGAGCTCACCTCTGAAAGACAGAATGGCCAACAGAAATCTCAATTAAACTTACTTTCAGGTGTGTGTGTATTTGATTGTCTATCTGTTGTCTGAGTTTGGTGTTTGCTGAGTGTGTTTGAATGTGTTCCCATGTGTATTTTTGAGTGTACTAATGTGTGTGTTTGAAGTTTTAATGTGCCTGTTTGTTGTTTGCCGAGCGTATTTGCTGTACTGTGGTATTTAAGCATGTTATTGAGTGTATTTGATGTTTGTAAAGTAGGACCATCTTCCAAAATTTGCAATGAGAAGTGCTTATAAACTTGCTGTTGTCAACAAAATAGACGCTTTAAGGACTTCCTGCCATTTTCCACCCAAATAAACACTTGATTTTTAACATTTAAAAATAAAGAGATTAAGACATGAAATATTAGTACTGTAAAATGATTTATTTTAAACACTTGATTTTTTTATTTTACAATGAAAATACAAATAATATTATAAATATTGCTTATTTTAATATTTTTATTTAGTAATAACAACAACAATAATACCTTTAATTTATTATATTTTATTTACATTTATTTATTATTTATACAAAATATTATTATTATTATTATTATTATTAATTGTATTCATTTTATTTATTAAAAATTTCTTTTATTTAAAATGGTATTATTACTATTATTAAACTGTGTTAATGTGTGTATTTAGTGTCGTTATGTATATTGATGTGTATCTGGTGTTCATTAAGCATGGTAATGCATGCATCTAGCATTTGTTTAGCATATTAATATATGTATTTGTTTTTTTTATTTGTGTTAATGTGTGTATTTGTTGTTTATAAGGTGTAATGTGTGTATCTAGTGTCATTATGTATGCTAATGTGTATTTGCTGTTTGTTTTGTGTGTTAATGTGTATTTAACATTCATTGAGCGTGTATTTGGTGTGTATCTGTCCTCACCTTGTGGCTCTCGCACCACCTGTCGTGCGGAGGACGTCAGCACCCCGTCGGACCACTCTCGTGTGTCCATGTCGATGTGGCCCAGGAGCTGCTGACGTGGCATGGCTTTCGGGTTCATGGTGTACTGTTTGACCACACGGCCCATCCTGCCCAGCGCCGCCCGCAGCATCCTCCACAGAGTGGACTTCCCCGCCCCGCTGGGCCCGACCACCACCACACCCATCCGCTGCCGCAGCTGCTCGTACAGCTCCAGAGCCTTCTTCATCTACACACACACACACAGATCAGTACTGCATTGCTGTAGCTCAAGCAGTAGAGCATGGGTGCAATTCCCAGGGAATGCACAAGTTGATAAAGTGAATATCTTGAATGCAAAGTGAATTTGGATAAAAGTATCTGCCAAATGCATAGATGTAAATAAATGCAATATGACGATTGTTGGTTAAGGTGTAGTATGTAGGGTACATAGGCAGCAGAGTTATTACAGTTAACTAAAACCATAAAAAAATGTCATTACTTGAAATAAAATAAATGTTAACTGAAATAAAATGTAAAAAAAAAAAAAAAAATAAAATAAAATAAGGCTCTTGAGTCTTATACACCCAAACTGAACACTCAATATTATGTACAGTACAGTATGTATCAGTAATAGACATAGCAGACATAGCAGACTAATCCTCTTAACATGAACTTATCCTCTAAGAACAGAGGTCTCTAATCATGAAAAAGTGCACAGTATGTTGCAGAGCACAGACCTGAAAAATCAGCAAATTGCCAATGCAACAATTCTCATTTTCATTTAGTTTAACTGTATGTACTAAAATAACTAAATATAAAACTGAAATACAATTAATAAATAAAAGGATAAAAAAGTTAATTTATTTATTAAATTAATTAAAATATTTATTTACAATTTATAAATAATTTATAAAACTATGTAGATATGTAAATAAATAAATAAATGTTTAAAAATAAATGACAAAAGTATAAAACAAATTTTTAAGTTAAATTACAAAAAAATGCCCTAATTCTAAATATCAGAAAGAAAAAAAAAACTATAACAGTATCTCAATGACTAGGTTTACATGAACCCTCGTAATGCGATTATAATGTGATTTTAGCAGTATTGCAATTAAACATTACCTTATGTAAATACAATGATCAAACTAATGCAAATAATGAAATAAAATAATCAGAAGACTGAAAATTGCATGTAAACGGGAGTGAAGAGGTTTGCTGCTTACTGCTATTAAGCCCTTGCTCTGCTTATTGGAAATAATCACATTATTGGTGCACATATAAACATAGACAATGATGGTAAAACAGCACTGACAGGCTGTCATACCTGACTGGGTATGATCTCCAGCCGTGCCTCTTCATAAACAGCCAGCAGGGCGGATTTGAGCATCTCATACTCCACGTCCTTAAAGTCGACTCCAGGAAACACGTCTCTGACCAGGGCGTCAAACCGAGAGCTGTCGGCAAACGTCAACTTTGACATGGTGTTCAACCTCAAGGCCTGAACCACCAACCCGCTCTCCTTCACTACAGACAGACAGAGAGAATATGGAGCTGAATTGATCCTGGACAGGTCATTGATCAAGTTCGTGTGATATTGATTCAAATGAGATTGTCGTACAGGGGTTGTTGTTTTGTCTCTGTAACTGCAGCAAACTCCCACAGCCTCTCAGCACCGTCTTTAGAGCACGCAAACCCCAGTCGTAGTGCTGCTGCGGCGTCAACAGTTCTCTGCACACAAACACATTCACACAGAAACACACAAGATCAGTTCTAGGGTCAGTGGATATTTGGGGCCACACCAGTAAAAATATATATTTATAAATAAAATAGTGTAAAATTAAAATTACAATGTATATATAAAATTATATATGCACGGCTGTTCACAAGTTTGAGGTCGGTAAAATTTTGTAATCTTTTTGAAAAAAGTTACACTCACCATGGCTGCATTTATTTGATCAGTAAAACAGTAAATATTGTGAAATGTTATTACAATTTGAAATTACTGTTTTCTATTGTAATATATTGTAAAATGTCATTTATTTCTGTGATCAAAGCTGAATTTTTAGCATCATTACTCCAGTCTTCAGTGTCACATGATCTTCAGAAATCATTCTCATATGCTGATTTGCTGCTTGAGAAACAGATAAAAAAAAAATTTCAGCATTCTATGATGAATAGAAAGTTCAAAAGAACAGCATTTGTTTGAAATAGAAATCTTATTAACATTATAAATGCCTTTACTGTTTGATCAATTTAATGTCTCCATGCTGAATAAAAATATTAATTTCTTACAAACTTTTGACCCCAAACTTTTCAAACGGTACTGTATAAATAAGAAAGCTGGTCTCTTCAGGCCTCGAACACACACTCAAGTCACTACCTGGCCAGATTGAATATAGCGACCAATTTACGTCCAAGTGCCTTTCCTTCTTTAAACCCTTCTGAATACAGGATGACCTCAGCGATGAGCTCGTTATCAGGACTCGTCATGGCAACCGGTCGGAAGAGCTGCTTCAGATTATCCGGCAGCTTCTGCCGTCCTCCGTATCCTTTACCCGCTGGGTTCAGAGTAATAAAGACGCCCGAATTTGGGTCCAACTCCACCTGAAAACACACACAACACAGAGTATTCCCTCTGTACCATCACATTTGAGTTTAAAAACCTCTTGCATTGGTGTTGTATTTTTACGCCTGTGTGTGTGTGTGTGTTTCACCTCTTTACTGAGCAGCTGGCAGGTGGTCCGGTGGTTCTTCAGTGAGTTCTGGATGGCTTGTATCTGCATGGAGACGGCGGAGAGCACAGCCTCTTCCAGACGATTGAACTCATCAAAACAACCCCACGCTCCACACTTCACCAGCCCCACGAAGATCCGGCCCATGGACTTCACATCTATACCCTAAAACACAGAGATATTAGACACTTTCACACATGAAACCTCTTTAACTGATGTAAAAAATAGCTTATTAACTTCTCCAGGAATGGCACCTGTTATACACAGTAACATGGACCTTAATACAGTAATACAGAATCAACAGCTGGTTTACTTGCATTTTGATTGAAAATGCACATTCATTCTCTGCCAGCAGAAGGCGCTTTCGGAATGGCAGAAATATAGCGTTTTCCCCGGTAACACTGAAATCTGCAGCGCTCATGTTTATTTAATGAATAATAGCCTTTTGAAGTTTAATGGTCACATTAAGCCTTATGGGAATTCTGGTCTTTCCGTCCCCAAAGTTAAGACCTCTTAAAATCATAATTAAGACTTTCTTGTACCATTTAAGACTTTTTATGACCTTAAAATTGATACAACAAAACGTAAGACTTTTTAAGGACCCGCGGAAACCCTGTCTAAATAGAAAAATACTGTTAAATTTAAAGGCTTATTACAAAAAAGTCTGTTTGAGGTCAGTAAAAAAAAAAATTTTTTATTACTGATTTTATTCAACAAGTATGCATTAAATTGATCAAAAGTGGCAGTAAGGACATTTACAAAGTTACAAAAGATTTATATTTCAAATAAATGCTGTTCTTTTGAACTTTCTATTCATCACAGAATCCTGAAAAATCAACTGCATCATGGTTTCTGCAAAAATATGAAGCAGCACAACTGTTTTCTACATTGATAATAATCAGAAATGTTTCTTGAGCAGCAAATCAGCATATTAGAATGATTTCTGAAGATCATGTGACACTGAAGACTGCAGTAATGATGCTGAAAATGTAGCTTTGGTCAAATAAATAAATTACATTTTAACATATTTTCAAATGGAAAAGAGATATTTTAAATTGCAATAATATTTCACTGTTTTTTATCAAATAAATGCAGCCTTGGTGAGCCAAAAAATTACTTACCTACAGTACATACCTACAGATCAACAAAGATCCAGTTTATTGATTTCTATCTAGACCCACTGGTACTGTAGGGTTTTTATTTATTATGTGTGTGTACCTCATCACAGTTGAAGACCAGCACTTGTCTTCCGAACAGTCCTCCCAGGGCTTTAACGGACTCGGTCTTGCCGGTTCCCGCGGGGCCGTAGGGATTCCCGCCCAAACCCATTTTCATGGCCTGTGTCAGTGTCAGATAGCACTTATCCGTCAGGGGCGTGTGAACCAGTTTAGGAGCATTACCCTGTATCAAATAAATGCAGCCTTGGTGAGCCAAAAAATTACTTACCTACAGTACATACCTACAGATCAACAAAGATCCGGTTTATTGATTTCTATCTAGACCCACTGGTACTGTAGGGTTTTTATTTATTATGTGTGTGTACCTCATCACAGTTGAAGACCAGCACTTGTCTTCCGAACAGTCCTCCCAGGGCTTTAACGGACTCGGTCTTGCCGGTTCCCGCGGGGCCGTAGGGATTCCCGCCCAAACCCATTTTCATGGCCTGTGTCAGTGTCAGATAGCACTTATCCGTCAGGGGCGTGTGAACCAGTTTAGGAGCATTACCCTGAGAGAAAGATAGAGAGAGTCAGTCTCTGTGGAGCAGCGCGAGGATCCATTTCTATCATATGAGACTGACGGCATCCTTTGTGGATAAATATGAAACGTGCAACAATATCAGCATGTACAACACTGTTCAAAAGTTTGGGGTCAGTAAGAGTTTTCAGCAAGGATGCAATAAATTGACTAAAATGAGAGAAAAGACATTTTTAACAGATTTCTGTTTCAAATAAATGCTGTTCTTTTGAACTTTCTATTCATCTGTAAATCCTGAAAAATTAAATGTATCTCAGTTTCCACAAACATATGAAGCAGCACAACTGTTTTCAACATTGCTAATAATCAGAAATGTTTCTTGAGCAGCAAATCAGCATATTAGAATGATTTCTGAAGGATCATGTGACACTGAAGACTGGAGTAATGATGCTGAAAATTCAGCTGCGCATCACAGGAATCAATTACATTTTACAATATATTCACATAGAAAACGCTTGTTTTGAATTGTAATAATATTTCACAATATTACTGTTTTTACAGGATTTTTTTATCAAATAAATGCAGACTCCAAATTGCCAAAAATACCAATTGAACTCTACTATACCAAAAGCCTTAGCTCACAAATAATGCTTTATGTGGATGTCACTTCATAACTTTCCACTACGTGAGCATCCAGTCACATTATATCATTAATATTCATGAGCCAGTTTTGTTAATTTGACTCAGTGTCTGACTGCACACTACTTTGTGACTTGAACACTGAGCTGATCACCTGATACTCATATGTGTAGCTGAACTCTGCGTCCACCATCTGTATGGAGCAGCGCTGGTCTGCGGTCAGATAGAATCGCAGCTGTTTCTTCCAGATCCAGTCATCGGTGCTGTGAATCTGAGCTTCTCTCAGACTCTGAACCACTGAGATGTTGTGGATCACGGCCAGAATCAGAGCCTTCAGTTTCAACTGCAGAACTCTCGATTCTACAAGACAAAACCATCAGACACACATTAACGGCTAATAAAAGCTGAAGTTTGATCGTGTTAGGGGTTCGTTACGTCCTCAAAAACACAGACATACACACATTTGAAGCACAGATTAGATTTGGAGCAGGGGTGGAGAGCTTGTAATGTGTTTTTATCAAACAGAGGCTTATAAAGAACAGGTTGGAAGTGTTTGTAATGGACCATTTCGACCCTGCAGCAGCAGTTTTTCCAGAGTGACTTATAAGCAGAATTAGCCATAATCACTGTTAACAGTGAGACTCATCAGAGGCTCCATTTATTTGAATTTATAATGGATCGCAGTGAATAAACCCCTGAGCTCATAAATGGACTAAAGTGCTTTATGGATATTCAGATCGCTTTATTAATTTGATTAACCTGACAATTAGCGAACGCTGTAAATATGCAGCCAGAAATTAAAGGTTTCATTCAGAATTGCCTACAGTCTGAAAAAAAACCACTGAAATTCACATTAAAGAAATTAAAAATACAGAGCAGTGCCACTTAAACACACACATACACACACACACACACATTTACTATTTTAAAATGAGGAAACACCATTTTATTTAATATAATTATAATGAATACCAATCATAGTAATTATTTATTATGTTTGAGGACATCCTCAAAGGAATGTTCTGAACATGTCCATTACTAGATAAACTACTACTGTAACCTGAATCCAAGTATTTAGGAGAAATAGCATTGTTAGAAGTAAATACAAAGTTATCACTGTATTTATGAACCATTTCAGAAAGCACTTTCAGCAGATTTGAGTAAAGTGAGTTTAAAGACACACACACACACACACATAGAGAGAGCCAGGTGTTGGTTAGAGCTGGGCAATATGGCCAAAAGTATTATCACAATATGTAACGAACCCTGATGTGGTGTGTTATTTATTTCAATTTCACATTTAAGAGTTGACATTTTAATGAGTAAGAAAAGAGGTGTTGAATTTACATCCCGTTCTTGATTATCAGATTGACTGCCTATTAGTTGTGAATATTGCTGTTTATTTTAATCGATATCTATTGTGATGTTCATTTACTGTTAATGAGGAAGGAAATATTTTCCACATGTTTGTTAGACCTCGAGAATAAATTTAAACATAACTTTGTTCACAATTAAACTCCAAAGAGTAAGATACCTTTTAATTTAGGGCCCTATGAAATCTATTTTATTTTCCCCTAAATTCTTTTTTCCATTTATTTTTTCTGGATTCTGTGTTTTATGATTCAATACAAATTTATAGTAAAAAATGATGTCTAATGAAATGAATAAATAAAACTTTAACAGTCTGATCATTCCTTTAAAATGTAAATAAAAAAATTAATTTACAACAAAACATTGCATTTTTATTGTCAAGTAAGACTATGCATAACAGAACAGTATAAATTAATGAAAAAATACCTTGGTTGTAATGATATTCCTTAAAAATATTATTATTATTACTTTGAGAATTATATTTTAGTATACAATACTAATATATTTCTGTCATAATTTCTTCAAGTTAAACCAGACTTATTTTGACAGGTTTTTGACGGTAGTTTTTTTCTCAAATGAAACCGTGTAATGCTGGTGAAGTGACACTCAGAGCAGCTCTGGAGACTGAAGCTCATGTGTTCATGTCCTCATAGATTGAGATGCAGACACTGAAAACAGTGAGGGTCACGTGTGTTTGAGTTTGTGTATCAGATGAAACCGCGCCATTCATTCACACAGAGACACGCAGAACAGCGGCATGCACTGACTGGCTGCTGCTGCGTTTATTTCTGCTGTGTGACAGACTGTCCATATCGAGTAAAAACATCCAGAGCTTATTATCGGTATCAACACAAATTCTATCGCAGTCTCGATATGATCTCGTTTATCACCGAGCCCGATGTTGGTGTACCTGCAGTGTCGTCCATGTTGGTGTCTACGCTGGTGTAGCTCTCCAGTTTGGCGGTGAGCTCCAGTTCCAGCTGATGGAGGTTCTGCTGTCGGATGGCGTTCTCCACATCCGCTGTGAACTGAATCTGCTCTGCCAGGCACAGAATCTGGAAACAGAGTCACTCCACAGTCACTTTAGCTGAACCGCAGAGACTTATGGGTGTTTCTGAAGAGAAACACCTGTGTGTGTGTGTGTGTGTGTGTTACCTGAGAAGGAAAGCGCGTGGGATCCACGTTTCCTCTCTTTCCAGCATTCACACAGTCACACAGGAGATGTTTCAGGGTGTTTTTCATCTCCGTGGAGAGAGCGCTCAGCCAAACCTGACACCAACCCACAAAATTAAAGAGATATTAAATATAAAACAATAAAATATATTTATATACAGTATAATTTATATATTAAACTTTTTTATAGATTAAAAACAATTTATAGATATTTTATTCTTTCATATTTAATATTAATTTAATTGTGTGGGTTGTGTCAGGTTTTACATATATTTATATATTTAATATATATATAAAAATATATTTATAGATATTGCAAATAGATACCTGACACCAACCCATAAAACGAAATATTAAATATAAAATATATATAAATAAAATGTTTAATATATATATAAAATATATAAATATATATCAAAACTGACACCAACCCACAAAATTAAATATTAAATATAAAAGAATAAAATATTAAATATCTAAAATAAAAGGTTTTATATATAAAATATTTATAAATATATCTCAAACCTGACACCACCTCAAAAAATTAAAGGAATATTAAATCTAAATGAATAAAATATAAAACACACACACATATATAATGTAATTTAATTAGCAGCATGTCACACCGTAAGCCCACATCATGAGACAACTAAAACACAGTCAGTACACACAGACAGCATGACAGAGATCTGACCTCCACGTCGTTGGAGATGCTGACGGTGTTCTGGAGCGGCACGGTCTCGCCCTCCAGTGATTTCATGGCTGTGATGCTCTGAAAACTCGGATCAAACTCCACACTGCTGATACCTTAAACACACAGTCATCCCACGTCTCTATATGCAGCTGCTTGTGTGACAACTGTGAACAGGTGTGTGTGTGTGTGTGTGTGTTACCTGCAAAGAGTTTCTTCAGGTGTGTGTGTATGACAGTAGGGTTTGTGGCCTGTCCGAGAATCTCCAGTAGATCGTCGTCTCCAGTGAAGTAAAACCGAGGGGTGCTTCAAAAATATATACCAGTCACTAATTTCTGAAGCACCCTCAGTTTTTAATTCTGGAACCGGGTCCGGATAAAACTGTTTGAGCAGTTTTCATTATCAGTAGCTCATATTTAGGCGATCGCATTGATTTATGTGGCAGTAGGCTTTGCTTCAAAGTCGGAAAAATCTGCAGGATATTTGTTAATTTCCTCTGTGAAAATCTCTATACAGTTAGAGTAAACATTAATGCACATGGGCTTCATCGAATACTCCTTGCATCTGTTGATTTCATCTGTGGATTATTTGGTTTTATTTAGTGTGACTCTCCAATAAGTTCTGATAAGTAATAAATAACATGATATGCGACCGGTCAATGTTAACTTTATTTTAATCAAAACATAAAACATTATTTACACCGTTTGCATCTGCGAGGCATAAGTTACAATTATATTTGTCCTTGACTCCAGAAATATGTTGGCAGATCTTTTATTAATAATAATAATAATAATAATAGACATATTTGTGCCACTTTCAGAAGGCAGCACAGTTTACATTATTTACACATGAGGGGGAAAAAAACATGTATTTTCATATCAAACCAATGAAGAACGGGTGTTGTTAATAAAATTACAATTTATATTATAAAATAGAACATTTTTACATATTTAATTTTTTTGTTTAGTTTTTTTATATACAGTATTTAACATACATAAATAGTTAGATTACATATCTAAAGGCTTTACCTCCAGGAATTCATTGAGGGATTTCTGGCAGCGCTGTAACTGGTCCAGGATGGTGACGAGGGAGTTCCTGATTCCAGCTCGAGTGCTGAGAGACGTGACCCTGCTGTCCCTCTGAACGTCTGACATGATGGCCCTACAAGCACAGACACCGGTGAGCGATTCTACACTCATCTGTCTCACACCTGTCCCAGCATCCCCTCCCTTCCTCCCCGCTCACCTGAAATCCTGGTCCACTCTCTGAAAGCGGGCCTGTTCCCTCGGCAACGCCCCACGCCCAAATATGGGCTCGAGGTAGACCCACTTCCTCTGGATGGTGTTGAGGTTCTGGAGGTACTCGTCAAGGTCGGCCAGCCGTGTTTCCCACAGTGACACTTTGTCCTGGAAGCGCAGGTAATAGGGTGAGTCTTTGAGCGACTGCAGCAGGCAGCGGTTGTCTCCCACCTGGTTGACCATGTCCCTCCAGTCCTTGATGACGCGCAGAGAGCCGCCCTGACTGTCTGTGTAGTCCGTCAGGGTGAAGCACGCGCCGGCGCCCCACAGCTCCAGCTCCCGCAGGGCCTCACGGATGGTGACCTCGGCCTGAGCGCGACTGTTCAGATCCTGCTCACAGACAGAGAAACCATTACCGTGAGTGTTTATGACCTAGATAAAGTTTTAGGGGACAAACTGCTGAAAAATGCCTGCAGAGCTCAGATGTTCATAAACAGACTAAATAATTCATTGTTTTCCATGTTAATCTAACTTTTTGTCCTAAATAGACATGGCTGCACTGCAAAAATGTTCTTATTTAGTATTTTCTTACTTATTATTATATATAATAATAAGAAATTATTTTCTTAGCACTGCCAGAAATCCCTCAATGAATTCCTAGAGTTAGATAGATAGATAGATAGATAGATAGATAGGTAGGGCTGCACGATATATCGAAATTATCGAAATATCGCAAATGTAAATATTGCAATATGCATATCGGAAAGGCCGTGCGATATCTGAATCATTTTAATAATAGGCTACTTAAATCAAAACGTTGCAAAAGGTCAAAGTTTTAGTTCGACACATATAGCAGAGAATTGCTTGACGTTAAAAAGAGTTAAGTGCAATAAGTTGCAGAAAACAACTCTTTGCCATCTCATCTTGCTGTCTGACAGACTCACACCTGAAGCGTGTGCACAAGCCGCATTTCGCACAGCGTATCTTCCGTTCTGCCGCACACGTGCAAAGCACGCGCACACACACACAGAGAGTTTCAGACGGCGCGCGAACACCGAGTTGATTCGTCTTTCGCATCTCCTCATGTTTGAACAGACACATACACACAGAATTATGTCAATAGTACCCGTCTCGACGATCATGATTTTTTGCATTGAGTGACAGTAAAGCATGACCTGAAGTGTGCATAGATGTGTGTGTGTGTGTACCTTGAGCTCCAGGGCTTTGTCTATGATGTTGTCGGCCACTCGCAGCAGGTCTCTGAACTGCAGTCTCTCTAGTGTGGTTCCTCTGGGCAGAGAGATGAGCCGGAACAGATCCAGCCAGTGTTCCTGAGAGAGCTGCTCACCTCGCACGTACTTCAACACTGGAACCACAGCCTAAAACACACAGCTGCATCCTTAGCACACCTATTTAGCCCAGCAACAAAAATATACAATTAAAGTAGCAATAATTGAACAACAATCATATAGGGATGTAACGATTCACTCAACTCACGATTCGATTTTCTCACAATTTTTTTTAACAAAATGAGATTTAAGACATTATACAGTAAATGAAAAGGTGTCATTTTATTAGCCTATTGCTGCACGTTTCTTTGTGAAATGTAAATAACAAAACTAAATTGAAATTTAAAAACAAACCCCAAATCAAACAAGTAAGCTACACAAATAAAAGAAATCTCTTAATATGAACAAACTAAGGCTTTGTCTGTGCTCTTTCCATTTAAAATTAGAGGCAACCACTGCATTTTAATCATGATCCAAACAAAGATGCTGCATACATGCAGCATGAGCAGTTTTTAATCTAAATTAGACTGTATAATTTCGAAATTTGAAGCAAAAAACAGAATGATCTGACTTTAGTGTTGTGAAACTATACATAAAACATATCTGAACGAAACAGCAGAGCTGAATGAGATGCAGATT